TCCCACATGCCCAAGCCTGTGACCAATTGCACGTGTGACATGTTCAGCCACCACCACAACCAAACCTAAGTCCAGCCAGAACCAGGTAGTCATCGAGCCACGGCTCGTGACTACGTACACCAGACCTGGTCACGTCCATTATCCCTGGCCCTCCCTTGCCGTATGACCCAAGTTTGCAATCAACATGGTCTCACTGGACAAGGGTGGCAAGTGGTTGCACCACAATTTTTCATTTCCCTAGCCAAGGCCGTAACCGTTGCAGCTGATTCACATATGTGGTTCGAACCCATGCTAGCAGGCTATGTTGGGTACATTTTAGTTGATCTGTTGTCCGGAGTATACCATTGGGGTATTGACAATTATGGTGATGCATCAACTCCAATTTTTTGTTCACAAATGAAGGATTCCAGGGGCACCAAAAATGGCCCTGGACTATCACCAGGCGCCAGTTTACTAACAATTTACATGCATTGGCTCGTAGCATAACTCTTGAAGTGCTTCCAATAGATATTCTTTGCAATGACCCTTTTATTCAAGGCTTTGTTAGCATCTGTGACGGTTGCATCATATTCAGCCAACAATTTCATGCTTGGTCTTATGGCACCAAGAGCAAGCTCCCTCCGTTGGTGGTGGCGCTACAAGATGCCGGTGTGCTTGTCTCACGGTCGCAACATTCTGCACACCATAGACCACCTTATAACAGTAACTATTGCATCGTGAATGGAGTTTGCACTGAATTTTTGGACAAAAACAAGGTTTTTGAGACGCTGGAAATGGTTATATTTTTCAAGTTCAGGGTGAGACCCAGGTTTGGAGTGAGCCTGACGCTCAATGGACAGAAGAGACTACAGATCATTGAATTTTTTCCGCTCCTGTAATAAGAAATATAAGCAAACATTCAATGTTTCAAATCATGGACTTTTCTGCTGCAACAGCATTGCACTTCATTGTTAAAATAGCAAAGCAAAAATTCATCCCCGACATATGATCGGGCTCAATGTAACTGATTAAATGCAGTCTCCCTCTTTCTCTTTCCCCTCATTTTAATAGGTCTGATTTGGCTGTAAGAAGTTGAATGTTACTAGAAATAAGAAGGCATGAATAATAGAAAAAGGAATACATTTCCCATACATGTTTTTATAATCATGCTGAACAAGAATTACGAAGGAGAAACAAACGAAAGTCTTCTTTCTCTTTATCTTTGTGAGTTCACATAAACCATTTGCGAGTTACAACACACTTGAATTTGGGAAAAGAAAAGCGAGGAAGAAAAAAAAGGGACAGATTAATGTTAATTATCAGCACCAAATGAGGAGATGGAGGATACACAGGGGAACCAATATCGGTGTTTGCCATCCGCATGGCCATCATCAATCATCGCAAGACCTTCCTGCACATCAACCGAAAAGGATATTGTTAACCCCATGAATCCAAATGTAACAGTAACATCATATACATGCCAGTTGTTGCAAGAACTTACATCTAATAAGGTATCAAGGGCATCAATAGCACGCCCATTGTGTCCAGGTAAGCCGTCTCTCTACCTCATCAACAGTCACATAGCCTTGAGCCTAAAAGAGAAACAAGTGGAACATCAATTAAGCAATTATTTGCTTAGGGTACTAGTTCCAAAATACAAAACAGAAGTATGAGAAACCTGTGCTAGCTCCAGAATTTCATTATGGTCTTTCTTCAACTCAGTTGGAACAGATCGAACAAGCTTTTTCCTTTCCAGCCAAAATCACCTCAAATCCACTACCCAATGTCTGGAAGAAACAAGAAGTAAATGTTTTATGACGTGTTAAAATAGCAGCACAAAAAATTATATAAGTTGCAGTTGCATAAGACAACTCCGTTACAGACCATGCATAGAAAGTCAGACTAGCAGCAGCAATAATGGCACTAACAATTCAACATATGTTCAAGGAACAATGTAGCTTAAAATAAAGGAAACCCAATCTGCACTCTCATGCTCATTCCTCTGCTCATCCGAGGGGTGGAAATGGAGAAAAGGAACGTGCAATGCTGGCAAACTGATTAATCAACATGAAACAAATATGAAGTAACATTACAACCATACCTTCAGCTTACTTATAGCACGCAAACAGTCATCCTCAGATACAGCTTCACGATCATGTTTTCGTTCTGACGAAGCAATTTGCAGAGTTCCTGCAAGTCGATCAAACCTCCATTAAGAGGCCTAGTCGCCAAGCATATCTCAACAATTTGCACCCCTGTCTAGCCAAGTATCCAAGCCTTATTATAAGCACTCTACCAAGTCTTGACACAAATGCCTTTCATGCTAAGGTTAAAACTTCCAAATGCATAATAAGAACTATAAAAAATAAAAAATAAAAAATAAAATAAATGGAGAATTTACAGAGCATGAACTTATGTATCATGCAGAGAGGCTTGCAGTTGCATTATCCGCAAATAATAACTTTCACAATCTTAGAACAGTGAACAAAAAATGATCCAATCAGAAAAAAGTTGAACAGATTAAAACATTTCTATAAATATACCCAAAAAACAGAGACATAAAGCTCACATCTTTGCCCTAAATAGATAAAATAAAATCAATTTAAGCTAAAAAATTCAAACTTGAAAAAAAAAATTCTAAAAAAAGAGATGAATTTTGGATACCAACCAAGTTCATAATAGAAATCACCAATCCCTAAAAGCTCAGCCCAAAATCCCTTATTTGAAGCCAAAGGATCCACTCCCACTTTGGCACACATTTCATGAAATTGTGACCTAAATGACGGATTTTTACGAATATCATTCTGCCAAAAAAAAAATCAAATTAGAAAATCAAATTAAAATTACAAAAAAAAAAAGAAATTGAGAGGAAAAATTTGTCCCCTTTAACCTTGTGTTTTCGAGCGAATTCTTCAAGCTGAGAACGAAAGGTGGCGAGCTGTTCTTTCATGAGATCGGTTCTTAACTTGGCTACATTTTCTCCCAGTAATCGATATTGATCCTGAAATTGAAAAATTAAAACAATAATTAAACGTAGATTTTGTAGAATGTAATTGAGATTAATTTGGTAATATTAATTAGGATTAAATTGGGTTCGAAACAAACCCTAGCGGCTGCCGCTGTTTGAAGGCCTCCGATTCCTGGTCTTCTTCTCATTTTCTTCTTCGAAAAACAAATGATTTGAAAATTCCATTTTATTTTATTTTTTTCGCTTTTCTATTTAAGAGTTAACAAACTAATAGAAATAATTGATGGAGAGAATCAACCGATCAGAGTGGCGCAGCGGAAGCGTGGTGGGCCCATAACCCACAGGTCCCAGGATCGAAACCTGGCTCTGATATGAGAGCAAGCTTCTCTTCCACTCACCCTTTTTCACTTTTTCTCTTTCCTTTGGGCCGTTTATTAAAGAGTTGGGCTTTGAGCTTTTTCTAACCCACTTTTTGGACCTCTTAGCCCATTAATTTCATTTGGGCCGTTACTGAAATATTCCATACTATTGTTTCTACTTGTTTTACACTAAACTAAATATGCAAGAGTTGAATTATTGTCCAAACTTGAAAATCTACTCTCAAATTTTGAAAGGGTTTGATAAAAAATTAAAATTGGTTAAATAGTTTTGTCTATAATTTTTAGACCCATTTAAATTTCAAGTCAAGTCTTAGAAAAATGATTTAAAACCTAAGTTCATCCGAATTCACATATATATAATTTTTTTATATGTTTTTGAATTATATATAAATTAAAAATTAAAAAATATATTTTTTATTAAATTTAATTCTCCTTTTATATATTTTTTATTTTTTATTTTTCTATATATGTGCATTGAAATAATTCTGTTAAACTTAATTTAATCATTTTTTTAATTTTTTATTATATAAATTAAGTTTAATGAGTTGATTTGAATTTTATTGTTTTAATTTAGGCCGGTTTTGAAAAATTTTTAAATTCAAAATTTCAGATCAAGCCTAAGTAAATATATAAGCTATTAATACTAAGTATGAACTTAAACTCTTTACATCAAATTAAACATAGAAATTCGAATATTTTTGTCATGAAAAAAACTGAAATTTTATATATTCGTATTGTGTTTTACACAAAAATTATATCATAATTTGCATCAATATGAAAATATGAAATATATATTTTTTATTTTGTTAAATCCATATATAATTTTTATTAAAATTTTAAACCGTGTTACCTTCATTTCTTACTATTTTTTATATCATATTTTCAATTATCACATCTATACTAAATTCTATCCTTTTTATATATTGTTTTTCATAATTATCTCGAATTTTATTTCAACTTAATTTAATCTCTTTGCTACAATTTTAAAAGCACACTTCCTAATATTTTTACATCGATTTAGTGCATTCATTGTTTCAGGATAATTGAATTTTAATCAATCGTGTTTCCTTTTCTATAATGTTTTAACATATTAATGAATAGCGATTAAATCCATGGTTTCTTATAAATACAAGAATGAATAGTATAATCTGGCTTTTAAAATTTAAGCGTCCACATACCTTTTCTTGTAAAGAATGAACTGAAAAAATGCTTCATTCGGAAGATCGATGAGAAGCATTTTATTTTTTTTAATAAAGAAAGATGCAGCCTATGGAAAATATAATAATTAAATATCATTTTTTAAAAATAACTGCACGAAGAACTACACCATCGGAGCTTAATTCATTGAAGTGGTTCTTTGACACTGGACACATAAGCTTCCACAACGACTTTTAAATCAAAAATCAAGTTATCTGGTCAATTTGTAAAAATGCATGTTTGGTGAACATGATCATGAATATAATAAGATAAAATGATATTATAAATAAGATTAAATTAAATGTCATCTTATTTTGTGTTTGATCTGCGTAAATATTAGTATAGAATAATTTTATTTATTGTCAAAATTATCTTTTTTCAAAATTTATATAATCTAAGTTAATGATGTAATTTTTAAGAGTATAATGGATGATATAATTTTAATCCCATAAATTAAAAATAATATCATTCAATACCGAGCGGATGACTACTAATCTTTCTTGCAATCCTATCTCTCTCTCTTTTTATGATACAAACCGAATTTGATTCAGGACGATTATCATCCTATGCGACAAACATGACCAAATTACTTGAGATTACCTTGGAAAGGTTTTGATTAGAAATCAGATTGATTCATCATTAACCAAACATAAGATGATGCAGAACTGAACTCAGATGCCACTTAAAGAGGTCAAAGAAAAAGTAATTTCAATGATGAAGAAAAGAAATATGTGAAAAGATATGGATCAAACCACCTTACATCAATTAAAGGTACTGATAATTCTTTGTTCATATATAATCTTAGCTTGTCACGGGTAGACCACAGCATAGAACAAGATGAACCATTAGAAACATGCACTTTTCGATATCAAGACATCCATGATTGCAACTCAAGCATACACATTGACTAACATTTTAAATGCAGTAGGTCGGGGCACTTGTGGGTCGATATATGAAAGGTCTGACAGTGTGAAAATAACCTGATGGACGATTATAGGTGAACTTGACTCCGGTGCTGCCCTCCCCGAGATGGTTGCAGTGATCATGGAAACTACTGATAGGTCGTGCCAAGCATGCATCCCACCGGTCACTCTCAGGCATTGTTTCAGCCACTGTGTATATCCCCTTAGCATTTGTGAAAGCCTGATAGTTCACCACTTCCCCGGATTTTGTGATGCAAAGAACAGCAACCTCAGCACCTGCAAAAAAACAGTTGTTGTAGACAAACATAAGACAATCTGATCAAATTTCAATGATGATTCATAAATTTCTAGATTCTGTTTGAAATATTAGTTAAGATTTCCATATAAAAACCCCAACTTTGCATGGTTAAAGTAATCAGGAAATTGCCTAGATGAACAAATCTTATACTGTCCTTTAAAGAATCCATGGCATAGTACAACTTGAAAGACGAAACCAACACAAAAAATAGATCGGGCTATCAGCATTCACCAGCACTGGTAATTGGAGTATCAAGTCTGAGAGCATTGAACCATCCTTAAGACAAAGAAAACACAACGGAAGATAGACTCGTAAGGAATGCAACAGGTAAAAAATCACATTTCAATGCCACCATTTCAGTTATTCTTCAAAAATTACAAAGTTCGCTTTCATCTATGCGTGCAGTATTGAAGACTCATTCTACAATCACTTAAATAAGACCTTAAAACTTCAAGAACAGTTATATCGATTGCAAACAGCTTTTTCTTCGTTGTGGAAAATGAATAAGGATTTATTTACAAAATAACAGACACCTTTTTCAATCAGTTAGAAAGTTTCATCAAGTATCCATTCTTTGATTGATAAGCCACTTACTTCACCAAGCAAAAATGAAAAAGAAGGATCGTTTTGACCGCGATGAGTTGGTGTCATTGTTGTATCACAACATTAGAACCCTAGATCTGTCCTTCACAATTCGAACTAACTTTAAAAACAAAGAAAGAACAAAGCGAACATGACAGCCGCCAAAGTCACAGAAGAATGAAAACTAAACCAAAGATTACGAACATATCCCACAATTTTTTTTTTTTCGGTTTAAGCCCATAACAAAATTGCTTACATAGACTTTTGGAGGATGCAACCTACACAAAAAGGATTCAGACAACAGCAGTCAGCTTAGAGACCCTTTCTAACACTATAATAGCTGAGCTGTTTGCAGCTCAATTAGCCACAGGTACAACTATGGAGCAAGCCATAGAAGCAATTTACACAAAGTAAATCAAAGGAAAACCACTCAAATAGACAAACTGCAAGACACAGTGAGCTAATCAGATCATCACAAGGTAATCTTTTTATTGTCTTTTCCAAAATCTAAGCATAAATTGAATCAATCAGATGCAGTTATATAAACAAAGTCAAAAAGACCAACCATAACCACTAATTAACCAAAGAAGGAAGAAACTTTATCAATACCCAGAAACTATAAACCCACCGACACATTAAAGAATCATAATTCCAACTCAAAACCCACTTCAAATTTCAGCTAAAAGACCAACCTTGACCAATCAAACAACATAATTAAAAATTATAAATAAAGAAAGAGAGAAAGATAGGAACCTTCCAAACATGATCTTCGGGGCCAATGGAAGAATCAGCACAAACATCACAGACAACTCTTCCATGAATCTCACCAGTCCAAGATTTGACACCTGAGACTAAGAAGACAGCTAAGACAACAAAACCCAGAACCAGATTGTTGTTCTTTGATTCCATCGGATGTGTCTTTTTAAGTTGAGTAATCAAAAGTGTAACCAGAAAGGAGAGCAGACAGCGTTATCCAGCAAGACACGTATCTACTTATATGTAAATTTTAGAAGTGAAAGCTAGTATTTAGGGGATTTAGTGGGTCCCCCTAGACTCTGACTTCTTCAATATTTACTGTATGCTTGGAGCTGTCCTGTTGAATCCCTCCGGTTCTTGCTCTAAGAAAGCCCATCTTGGCTTCTTTTTTCGCGGGCCATCTCACTACTCAAAAAGCTCATGGGCAAATTGTAATCTAATTATATCTGGACCACCAATCAGGTTTGATAAGGATTTTTTTTGGTACTGATTTCCTATCGGCTCGACACAATGTTCTTTAACAGTACTATGGATGTTTTTAAAATGAACTACAATATGTTGGATGGTTGGATTAGCAATGGCCTCGTAACATCAATCTTCTGTTCTTCCTTTTGTTGCAGTGGTTTCTCAGTTTTCTTTAGAGCTTGATTTTGGTTACATGAAACATATGGTAAAAGAAGAAAGGCAGTAATCTACAAGAAGAACGTAAAGCATCCTCCCATTCTAAACAACAGTGGTTTTGACTGAACAACATTCCAATGCAATTTGATATGTTGATAAGGCCTCAACCAGTTTACATACAACTTGAACTGATAATCAAGGAAATTTTTTATGTATCTCCAATAACAATTTTTTGGATCATTCGTATCATTGATCCACATTTCTAGCCACTTCAACACTTGGACCATGACCATCACTTCATATGTCGGTTTACCCTGGCATCATACTCATGAAGCAGAATGATTACACAATTTCAGTCAAGTAAATTTGTTTAAAATGGACACCTGAAACTTTCCCAAGTCATCATCAGAAAAAGAAAATTTGTGTCAAAAATTTGTGTCAGGTTATTATCTTGTAGTTGGCTCATGAAATTTGCTTTTGGAACAGACCTAACAAGTGGCAAGATTGAGAATTAAAAGGAATGGAAATGAGGACAGAAAAGCTCATAATTCTGATAATGAGAGAGGTAGTTAAGAAATGCGAAAATATATGTCTGCTTCTATATTTAGCAAACCTGAAAAAGTTATTTTTGGCTATTGGCTTCAATGGATTTGGACAGAGTAAAAGCAAATCAAACATTATGAGAAATTTTACTTTGAGCCTTCCTGAGGGACCAGACAGGTTTTGGTTTCCTTCAGGAGCTAGGATTCCGAGAGCTCAACTGCCAATTTTCTTAATACTTGAGCCTATTAACATTTGGTTTAAGAATTTGGTTGTTGTCATGACAAGGAAGACAAAATGAACTGTTTTTCCTGTTGCATGTCAGAAGAGAGACTAAATAGAAGGTCAACAAAGAAGAGCATGAAGGAATACAATGACACAAAAACTATGGTTTCATTTGCCAATATTGCATTCAAGAGTGGTACAATTTTTGCCCTGAATGGATTTGAGAATATGCTTTATTTTCCTTTAGTTTTGTTGATACCTTTCCTTTTTATATATTTCTTGTGTCAAAAATAATTCCCATATCTTTGTTTTGTCACCAGCATATAATGGAGGAACATATTTTTGCATATATAGTTTCTGACCCTTTTTTTTTTATTCAACCTCAATTCAATTCAATTCAAATCATAAATGGTATCCAAAAAGAAAATGTTAGTTTAAAGATGGTGTTCTTCAATTTTCTAGATGTTTTTTAAAATCATGAAGACAATCTAATTGATGAATTGACCATTGGAATAGATGTTAACTATTGCCAAGCCAGGCTCAGCTTCATTCCTATATTCTTGGTCACCCTGTTGAGGTTTCATATCATCATGAAAAAGAATAATCATTGAGTTGATTTTATATTTTGGTTATGGTACAAAGATGACAAGAAAGGGTTAGATCTGTGAGCCCCAGATTGTTGATCTTTTGAAACCTTTTCATGCCTTTGGCCACGACACGTTTCAACTTTAACAAAGTTCTTTTCTCTTATGGCTGAAGACTTCGAGTGGTTGATTCATGGTTTGAACAAAATTTTCTGTTTTGGCAGATAGCAGCAGAAAGAGATACATTACCCAAGAAATAACAAAAATGGGTAAAGGTAATATCACTGCTAGGATTTTTAACTACAGTGAGCTATGCACCGCCACTAAAACTTCAACCCAGATGATAAGCTTGGTGAAGGGGGTTTTGGGAGGGTCTACAAAGGGCATGTTGAAAACCCAAATCAAGTACCATTTGAAATCTTAATCATCTCTTTATTCCTTTGCATTAAAAAGAGTTTTTAACAAAAAATATATGGTTTGCATGATATTTAGTTAGTAATTTCATATTGTTGTTCCATCATACTTTCAGGTAGTTGCTGTCAAGCAACTTGACAGGAATGGATATCAAGGAAACAGAGAATTCCTGGTTGAGGTTTTGATGTTGAGTCTACTTAACCATTCTAACCTTGTAAATTTGGTTGGATATTGTGCCGACGGGGATCAAAGGATTTTGTCTATGAATACATGGCTAATGGCTCCTTGGAGAATCACCTGCTAGGTATGTTTGACATTTGAGTTGTTATCATTTATTTTGATATAAGAACTAGCAACACAACTTCAGACTCGGATGGATAATGTGATTCAGAACTTGAACTTTAAGTGAAATTCTTTACAATTTTCTTGGGCAGTTTTAGAAACTTCCATTGTATATTGATATTTTGTTTTGGTGAACATACTCAATTGTTTGTAACTCTTGCCTTTCAGATTTACCTCCAGACAAGAAGCCATTGGATTGGAATACCAGGATGAAAATTGCTATTGGTGCTGCTAAAGGCCTTGAACACTTACATGAACAGCCAATCCTCCAGTGATATACCGCGACTTTAAGGCATCAAACATATTACTGATCAGGATTTCAATTCCAAAGCTCTCGGATTTCGGACTTGCAAAGCTTGGTCCAACTGGAGATAAGACACATGTTTCCACCAGGGTTATGGGAACTATGGCTACTGTGCACCTGAGTATGCACTGACCCGGCCAGTTGACTACAAAATCAGATGTTTACAGCTTTGGAGTTGTGTTTTTGGAGCTAATCACAGGAAGAAGAGTAATAGACAATTCAAGACCACAGAAGAACAGAATCTTATCACTTGGGTAAGTATCGAATGTTTTATTCTTCTAAACAATCGTGGAAACTGTATTGCTTTATACATTTCTAACTTCTAACCTTCTATAACACTGATTATATCCCCTTTTGCAGGCAACACCCCTATTCAAAGATAGAAGGAATTTCACATCAATGGCTGATCCATTGCTGGATGGGAAATTTCCCATTAAGAATCTCCACCAAGCACTTGCTGTTGCAGCAATGTGTCTGCAGGAAGAAGCAACTGCCCGGCCTTTGATGAGCGACGTGGTAACAGCTCTTGAGTACTTAACTACAGGCAATGAACTAGAAGGAAGGGAAGAATAGTTGACAACAAGAAATCAGTTTCTCCTGGTAGGCACAGTGATAGAGATATCGAAAAACCAAAGAATAAAATGAATGTACAAGAGGAAGGATAAAACAAAGGGAACAACGGCTAATGGAGCCCATCAAACTCATATCCTGTTTCAGCTAAGCTGCAATCCATGGAGTCAACTCAAAGTCTCATTGCTTTAAATCCTTTCAGGGTCTGCTTTGCTAAGGGTACAAGGGAAAGGAAAAAAAGGTGATGGAGCTCATGTGGGCCGTGGCCTCTTTCAATTTCAAGGAGCTTTGCATGTTACTGCCATCAATGTGCAAACCAACCTCATTTCCATTAACTCAACTTTGTTTATGTTTCCTTTCTGGTTTCATTTGCAGAAAATTTGTGAAACTTGTTCCCTTCACTTTTGTATCAGGTAACTTAGAATGAAAGAAATGCTTAGAAAATTTTAGTATGATCCAAGGCTTCAAACTATAAATGGCACTATATGCAATTTCCCAATATTCTAATCCTCAATTCAACAACAAAAATACAAAAAGATAAATATTTGCCGAAAGGGCGGTTTCTAAATATATCAACAGTTAAAATTCTATGTACACCTTATAAATTTTTCTTCCCAAAAATACTCATATAGTAAATACTAATTTTTTAGTAAAAATGACAAAATATTCCTCTCAATATCTTATACACTTTATACCTTCTTCTGGCTTACTCTTGTATCCCTTCTTTCTCATACATTAAACTCTAAATCTTTAAAACTAAAAACCAAAGTTTTGATATTTTTGTTAAATCCTGCAAACCATGTAAGAATGGATTTAGAAATGAGAAACAACAATAGAGAAGAAGAGCTCGACGAGGTAATGGAAACTCACCCAATCAAGTCTAAATTTTTTGTATTTTCGAAAATTCGTTTTCTAAAATACAAATAATTCTTGAAAAATGGATTTTCGAGAATTATATTGTATTGTCGAAACCCAATTTTAGAAAATTATAAGTTTTAGTGAATTAGTTTGCATTCTCGAAAATCTATTACCGAAAATACATTATAATTTTTCAGTAATCTTTATATTTCTTATAATAAAATTTGTTTAATATATTATGATATGTAAATCAATTTGAAAACTACAATGTTAAAGTGGAATCAATCATCAGACAGTTTAGATACTAAATATGATTGCATATATACATTTACTACATAAGAGGTAAGATTGTGTTTTTGAAATTTACTGTTACTGAAAAGTATAGAATATAGAATTTTACTTTGTATAGATGTAATAAGTTAAAAATATTGTGTATGTGCTTTGTAATAGAAAAGTTTTGATTTAATGGGTTAGACTATTGGAAAGATCAAGGTTTCATGATTGTAATTAAAAACTCTGCGGTGAAAGGCTTGAGGAACCTAGAATAAAATTAACATATGAAAGAAATGAAAAATACAAACAGTTTAAGAATAAAGGCAATGTAGAAGAAATGAAACGTAAAAGAACGAGAATGAAAAAGTGTGATTGCCTATTTAAATTACATAAGATGAAGTTGGTAATGGATGATGAATGGGGTATGAAAGTAGTAAGTAGAATTCACAATCATTTACTTACACAACAATTAAGGGACATTCATTTGTGAGTCG